TAACTCCAGCTAGCTTCGCTAGCTTTCGTGAATATCATAAATCATTAATATATAAAATTTATCAATTTACACCGAAAAATATTCGATACGTATAGACGCCGCGCGAAAACCATCCATTCGACCGAAAACATAAACTAGCTAAGGCAAAAGCCCTATACGAATACATAATTATTTTTATAAATATCCCCACCGAAATTCAATCCAAATTCAAAGATTAAAACTTATATGATTTTCGATTCCTTATAAATTTCGCGAAGTATAAATTATCCTTGGTATTCGTATCCTACACAATCTACTCTATACGCGAGTCCCTATCTCCACTCGATTGCTCAATACCCATTGGCCAAATAGCCTCCAAAACCCTTCATGATGCTAACAATATGCTATTTGGCATCCGTTGCATCATTAGACCCCATTTTCACCGCTTTTCTAATCCTCGCTTTGGAGCGCTCTTCCCCACCAAGCTCCGGGTTCACCCTCTCAACACCCTCCGCCCCCCCCACCCCCTTAACTCACTTCGTTCGCTCTGAAAGCTCAAGCCTGGCCTATCGACTGCTTTCGTAATGGAAAAATTTCAAGCCAAACCCATTTTTTTCGACATTTTTTTCAATTAAACATCTAATAATACTTATTAGAATAAATATCAATAAAATTACATTTTATCAGCAATAAATCATTGTAGATGTCAAGTGCCTGCAGATCCCACTGTCCATTTGGTTCTAGTTTGGATGGGGTGCGCTTTCTTGTCGCCCCTAACTGGCGCAGAGTGCAAATACTGTTCATGAAACATTCCTAGAAAGCCAGTGAGTGTGAATTAAAAATTGGAGCCTTTAATTACCAGCGAAATCGAATGGCTTGATCATAAGACTATTGTGGCCAAGCCTGTTGAATTAGACCCTGCTGATAAACAGCACCCAGCTTCCACATTGGTGTGGTTGCTTCTTTCCCCAAACAGCCATCCATGATTTGAAATGGTTTTGCTGATTGGACGCACAATTGGCTACCCTGTGTTCAAAATGCAACCGCGCGGCCCCTGGTTCCAACCGCAATGCTCGTGTCAGCAGGGCTTCTGCTGTCCAACAGCCTTCCTGAGATGATTTTGGCAAAACTGAACCAACCAACACCAAATGTCACGTGCTGTCAATCTGCAAAAGGTTGGAAAATTTAAAAGTGTGAGAACAGGCCAAGATTCGTTCAAATTGTTTAACAATTTACACAACCATCACCAAACAAAGTAAGACCAAAATGGCGCGACCTGATTCCTCTCACAGCCAATGAAATCAAAGAAGCGATTCTTGACATAGCAGTCCGAATGCCCAGCAAAAACGGTTATCAAAATTTGAGTGCAAGCATGGATGTAGATAGCTGGAAGAATGGATGAGATGTCATCGGCTCGTCAAAATAACATTTGGAAGGAGAAAATTGGATGTTGAGGTGACATAAGTATCTTGCAGCATTCTTGGGAAGAAAGGGTTGTCAATCTGGAACCTTCAAGAAGAAACACTTTTGATGTAGTCTGGCAACATTGGGGTCAGACCAAGCAGCCCGTCATGAAATGTTAACTGTCAAGGGTGTGTCTGCTGAGCCATGAGTGGAAAAGTCCCTGCGTCGTACCGGTCAGTTTGCATCCACAAAATTACACATGTACACTCGGATGATGAACTGGCAGTGGGGCCCAACATGTCAAGGGGGAACAGTCAGAGCCTGAATGGCTTTTTGGATGTAGGAGGCGGAGCTCAAACAATTCACACTCCAACCTTTGCTGATGACACTTTCACTCAAAGCACAGAACTCAAAGCTATTGCATTTATGTTCACCCACAAGAGCAAAAGTCTTCCCAAAATTCATTTCACTCATCAAACCATTTAATAAATTGGAACACGACACGCAAAACACAAGGACTTTCAAAAGGACCAGCTCGTCACCCATATCCCAAGCGGCTGGATGTTTCAGGGCAGTGTTGGTCTGCAAAAGCAGGACGCCCAATTGATGACATACATCAGCATCACTTGGATCCAACCGGAAAGCCTCACAAACAGCAGGCTTAGCAAGATCAAAGCGCAAAGAACATGGCAAAGCCACGAAAAGGGAAGAAAAACCTACATGCTACGGTAACCGGCCATTCGGTCAACACTGGGAGCCTAGCTTGAGATCAGGTCTTGGCATGTTCCCCGCGATGATTCAAACATGGTAGCAATGGCTGACATAAGCATTTGGCATTGACATTTTGCTGACAAAGTCGGAGAAAACGAGTTCATCCTGCCAGCTCAAGCCTCTTGAAGATGTGAAAGGCGCAGTCCATGTCGCTGCTGTGTCTCCTCAAAATATCCAGGACGGGAAAATCTGACGCGACGCGAACTGCAACAAATATGATGTTGTGTACTTGCCAAATCTGATGGCAAACACTGCTGTTCGGCCTGAGAATGCAAACACAAGGCTGTATTTTTGGAGCAATTGGCTTCACACACAACAACTTCTCAGCTACAACCATGCAAAACCTCCATTTCTTCAAGACACCCTGTAATTCGCTGTCCCTCTCCAACATGGCCCCGCCCGTCCAATCGGTCGCTGTCGACGACCATGGCATTGGCCATGCGCAGGCGGCGCGCCGCGCTAGGTTGGAGTTTGCAGGCCTCGAGATCAACATAAGTCGAAAATTCTAGCACAATGGGTTTGCAACAACACCAAGACAAACACAAAGTCAAAGTCATTTTTAAAGTGTGTATTTTCTTTAAAGTTCTTTATTCTTGATGAGGGGCTCAAAGGATGGTTCAAAGCACTAAGAGTGACCAGCTTTTGGCTCACTCTTGTAAGTGAATGTACAAAAGTACAGTCTAAAGCAAAGAAACATAATGGCTCAAGTAAATGCTGAAATTGTGAATCTTATTCATTCACACATCCTGAACAACGGCCCGAGTGCAGCCAGAGGCAAGTTTGCTGTTGACAATGAAACAGAACATGTGCACAAAAAACAAGCAAGGCCTTTTACATCCTTGGCAAGAACTTGACTCAGCTGGGCCTTCTCTTGCAGCAGCAGCGAGGCTTCAACGAGATGTTTGACCTTGATTTGAGAACGCTCAAAATGATGGCCAACACCATAGTTCTACACGCCGACCCTCTCCTGCTTTGGGACACTAGAGTCTATAGAGTATCCTTTCAATCACACAAGCCACACATCCTCTACTATCTACTCAAAGACTGAAGTACAACCATTGATGATCCTGAACAATCAGAAACGTCGGTTTCATTCAGCACACTCTTTCCAGTCTTTGTCTTGAGCTTCCAAGAAAGCTGGCCCTCTGTGCTTGTGAGACAAGAGCTTTGCAAAAACACTTGCGAGCCCTCCACCCTTCCAGGTGCCCCGGCATCTGCTCCACATCTTCGCTTTCCCAAGCCACTCATTGAGGCACGGCATGGACGATGTCTCAGCGAACCGATGGCTCGGCCCGCACCGTGATGCTTCGAAGCGCACCCCGTTCCTTCCGATTCCCGAAATGGAAACAGGTTGTCTTTAGTCTTTTTAAGACAAACTCGTTGAATATGCAAAACAAAATCCTACACTGAGGCGGTACTTTCAAGCCGTTTCCACCATCCTGCTGCTGGAATTCCCAGAAGCCAAGTGACTGGAAATGCTTTGGCCTGACCGCAAAAGGTGAACATGTCCACCGGAACTCAAACGAATCAGAAGGATTTCTCACACGTCTCACACCACATCATCAGTTTATCCACTTCATGGAACAAACAAATCAAACGGATGGGCACATCAAACGGCCTCTCCCCGCGCAGGCTTGCCAGGTTGGCAGCAGCAGCTTTGTTCTCAGGATCCAGCTCCTTATTCGGTGCAAGCGAGTTTGTGCTTAAACACTCCACATACCCTGAAACTAACTATCATGGAGATCTGTCTGGGAGAACCATGTCTGAAGAGGCCGATCTGAGGTGCGGTACCCAGAAAGCGAACCGAATCATGTAGATTCTTTAGCGAAGACTGATTTGCTTCAAGACCATCTGAGAAGTTCATGGTGAGTCCTTCTTTCAAAACGTGGTATCGGCGGGAATCAAAGCAACATACAAGCACTGCACCCTTGGCAGGTGCGTGCTGAAGATTCTATCAGTCATTTCTTGAAAACATGGAAAAAACAATTCAGCACAGCCTTGCAGCCGAGAGTCCAATGCACGCTCAAACATGTCTTCTTGGGTGTAGTGATGTCCCTGGAACTCAAAGTCGACCAAGGTCACACCTGCGTCCACTGTGAACTCAAACGTTTGAGTTCTGATATTTGCTGATCGACCAGATCCGGGATTCACCAAGCCATGTAAGCAGTATGGCATGGGATGCCCATGGATCGTATGGTCCGCTACATCAAGCCTATGGTGCCAAACTGTTTATGCTTCAAGATGTCATCAGCAATACAAACAACAACTCTCTTCCTCATCGAATGGAAGCTCTATTTCCTTCTTACCTCCGGTGACCATCAGAATGGTTGGAATCAAAGTCGCGACACAACAAACCAAACATTTTCAACACAACCCGCAGCATGCGCGTCCATTTGACATGCAAGCTCCAAAAGAAACATCTCTATGCAATCGGCACCTAGGTTGGTCCATGTCCGGGATGACAAGGCATCGGACTCCTTGGTACAAGCCCGGGGCGACTAGTGAATTCCACAGATTCTTCAAACAGTTCCTGACTAAAAGGGCGGGGGCGACCACAAGAACGATGGGTTGTTGTTGTTGTCGTCGTCGTCGTCAGTGAAGGGCTTCAAACTTTCAACAAGATCTGACAGCAACAAACCCGTGCTTGGACATCTGAGCATGCATTGCCTTATTGCGGTTGTACGAGGCATTTCCAAGGAATGGAATGGAAAGAACACAGAACGGAAAATAAGGAAAAGAGGTCTGAAGGTTTAAAACAAAAGAAAAACAAAAATGGAATGACAGGAAAAACGTATCTGATCTCTTGGAACTCCGCCCTGTTTTGGAATCCTGACTATTTCGGCAAAGACTGCAGCCCGATCTGCTAGGCCCTAGAACATGGCACATGAGAGAAGCCCAAACCTCGCACAAGTGTCTACTGATTTCTTCATAAATGAAATTTATATGTGGTAGAAGTGACTGCAAAATGGATTGAGATTAGGCCTTCGTAGAAAGTATAGTGTTAAAAAAAAAAAAAAACATTGAGACATGTTCTTGATTCAAACAAACTTCCCAACTTGATCTACTGATGTCAAGGGTAACTCACACAGAACAGTACGGATGAAAAGGTTGCCGCCTTCTTGCTTAGATTCCAATGCTGCTTTGTGAAGTTGGCTGCGGCTTCGGTAATGCCAGCCATCGCCTGACAGGGAAGGAGCTGTGAATGATTGTTGCAATTGTGAGGCAATCTCAGTAGTGAGCAGAAGAAAGAAAGGTCGAGAAGCTTGCGCCGACAGGCATGGAACATTCTTCTCCAAGGCACGTGACTTGTCGACCTCCCAACCACGGTTCTAAGCAAACCAAAACACGAGTCGAGTATGGACCGCGCCTGAGGACAAGCGGACACGCTCCGAAGGCCCCAAGCATTCACCCAAGATGTCCGGCTCGGCCTGGAGGGGGCCATGCTGCGAAAGGCCGTGGCGCCGTGGCCTGCTTAGCTGCTTCCATCAGCCATTTATATCCAATGCACTTCGAGTGGATTGTCTTGTCTCCTGAATCAAGGAGCATGATTGAATTCCTACAAGGCTGGTCATGAGCAGTTCGAGCTGAGCTTACTCGGAGTGACTCACCTGGGCTTGTTCCATCTTGCCCAGAGCCAGCACAAAGGCGTCCAACTCTTGGGGTGCATCGGAGGGCGCGAAGCTCGGCTCCTGGACGAGTCGTGAAGAATGACTTTGCTAAACAAAGAACAGACCGGAGAAAGGGTGCAAAGGCCGAAGAAAGGGTGTTCCAATATCGAGAGGATCCATGAAGTAGCTACAAACTAAGGTTCCATATGGCCTATTTCCGAATGTTGTGCGTTTTGAAAAATGCAAAGGAGCCTTTGCGGGTGCGACCTGTCATGAAACCAGGCAAGACTAGGATCAATCAATGGATGAATATCAGTGGATTGGATAGCTTATGAAAAGGCTGATCAACTCCATGCATTGCACCAAAACGGGATCAGCACATTGAGAATGCCACCTGCCAATCACTGCAGCCTCCTTCAAACCTGAGATGCAAGGGCATGGAAGGAATTGCATGTAGAGGGTTTTCAAAAGAACACATTGTCACTTTGGCTGAAAACCACACATTTTTGGATGCAAGGTGGATGGAAGCTCACTCTGAAATCAAAATACCTGCTCCCAAGCGTTGAATCCTGAATTTGCACACTCTAAAGCCCTTGAAGGCATCAAAGACTTGGCAATCAATGCATAAGTTCGATCTCTCATTTAACAATAGCTTCATTCCTGTTCGAAAAGCAGCAAGGCTCCCCAGCATCCATTGGTCGCATTCCCCTATTCTTGTTTGGCTTTCAGAAGACAGGCCCAGCGCTTCACCTCATCCCATTCAAGCAGGTGACAGGTCTGGCACCGCATGTCTCCTTGGATGCACCGACTGACTGGGCACAGTTGCTCCACTGACTGCTTTCTTTTCGTCTTTCAATCCAGGAAGCTTTGAGAACAATCCAAAAGGAAGGCGTTTTCGGGAGATCACGCAAGCATCCTGGATCATGATCTCAGGTGCTTGCAAAGCCACCTATCACTACATATCGCATGAATCTCAACCTTTTTGGACTTTAAGAGCAAAAGCGACAAAGCGACAAGCACCCCGTCCTACCAAAGCACAGGATTGTTCTGGGTCGATTTGTCCACGAAGTCCCTCCACAACTCCCAACATCAAGTACTCAAGATCTTTGACAACTCATTTTGGAAGACTTTTTGGCCTCAGAATGACTCATAACATTTTTACGGCCTGCCAATCCCAAAACCAAGCATCAGCAGCAGCGGTCTGGGTATTGCGTCAGCACTGCCAGCTTGATGTGCCTGAAGCTGCCGCAAGGCGCCTGGGTGAGATGGATCCAGCTGCAATGCCTGGAACCCAAAACGACGTCAGTCGGGGCGACCAAACGTTCGGTTCAACAAGGGCATCCATGTCACACCTATGTCATTTTGATAAGACAAACTCATGTCAAGACAGAGAGGTTTTGCTACAGCACTTGGGCAAAGCGCGGATTGTTGAGACCACCAGGGTTGAGACTTCTGTGAGGAAGGTTGGTGCCAACGTCTGTGAAGTTTCTGTCTGCATGGAATGGACATTGCTGGACGCAGCAGTCCTCTGTTGGCGTCGAACCTTGTGTCCCGGTGATCTCTCAATGGCCTCGCGGCAAAGGGCGCGGGCATCGTAGATCTCCCCACGCAAGGTCACGCGCTCAAAGGGTGCCAGCTCCAGGGAGAGCCTTGTAGAGATCGGGCTGGGGGAATGTTGAGCGTGACGAAACTCTGCCATGGTCTATTCTTTACTTGTGGGGAGCACGTTCTTGGAGAGCCCTCTACAAGAAGAAGTAGACTGCTTATGATTCAGGTGCTGTGGTGCTGTGGTGCTGTGGTGCAGTGTGTTGTGAGTCCAGCGCCACAACACAAGTGCTTATGAAAGCTTCTGTTTGGCTCCCACCTGCACCGTGCCTTGGAGAGGTTGGTGTTTAAGGGAGGCTTCCAAGACTGCATCCCACAGAAACCAAACCTTTCTCCAGTTTCCTCCGGCCCCAGTGTGGTCTGTTAAACGACAAGAAGAGAAGGAAAACCATAACAACAGAAGGTGCTTGGGCCTCTCATTAAACAGGCCCAAACACCTTCTTTTTAGTCTTTCATGATTCTTATTTCAACACCTATTCTCAGCCTTTCTTCATCTTTTTGTCCCAGTTGCTCCAGCCAGAGCTGTGCATCGTCCACCAGCTCGCAAGCTGCCTGCAGCAGCTGCTGCCGTGAGCAGCGCATCCCACTGGAGCTGGGGGAAGTCATCTCCTGCGCGATCAGCAACTGGACGCGCTTCGTTTGGAGGCCATCGCTACTAGTAACAACAAAGCTTTCTAGTATGTCTTTGAAGCGTTCTAGCAACTAGAAGCTACTAGGGTGGAGGCCCACCCACTCTTGCTTTCAAATCGCCCAAGCTCGCAACTACGTAGCCTCAGCCTGCTTCTGCCCTTGCCTTCTTAGGTTCTGCCGGACAAGCCCGTGTGTGATGTTCTGTTTAAAATGACCTCCTGGGGAAGTCCCCATAGCTCAACGTCCCATCCCGTCCTGGGAGATCCGCACCTAAGATCTCCAACATGTCGAGCTTGGCAAAACAAGCTTCAACGAGGTGCGGCCCAACCCTAGGCGCCCAAGGGCCCCAAAAAGAAAGGACATCCACCGATTTTGTTGGCCTTTTCTCTTTGCAGGTGGCCAATTTGTGCGAGAGCCAAATCGCCAACGTCACGATGGACACGGCAAAAACCCACACCAAATCACTCATCCCCTCATTCATTCTCACTCTCACTGTCTCTCACTCTCACTCATGAGACACAAAATAGATGTGAATCTTTATGTTCACCATTGTACTTCACCTCTCCGCTATCATATTCCTCTTCGCTCCGCTTTGGCCTCCAAGTGGCTCGCTCCTTGGGCGCCATCAACAGCGCCAATCGCCCACATGCCTCGCCACTTCCACAGCCCGCCGCACGAAGGAGGAGCTGACCTTGGATCGTTGGTCTGTCTTCCAAGTACCCTCAGTTGCTCAGATCACCCACCACTCGCCGAATTGGTGCGTTGATGATACTTCCACAAGGCAGTTCCTTCATACCTCGATCGCCCACGAACATGGCAGACCGGGGCACGTGTCTTGGCGCCGCCGGCGACCTCTCTCGCCGCCTTGGTGGTCGAGACCGGTGGCGTGTGAGCGACTGGAGACCGGTGGAAGCGACCTCTTCGGGCAGAATGCGAGCAAAGCGGATCCTTTTTGTTCTTACCGTTCTGTTGGTATCTGTTGGTCTACAAATCCAGGCGGCAGTCATTGGTTCACATATTGCCTTGAGTTTTGGACGGTGGGAGTTGATTTGACAGAAACGATCAAAGATCACATTCAAGTCATTCTGCATCTACCTGCACGTGGTACTCTCATACAAACAAGACGATGTGTGATATGCATATGCAAGCAGTACATGTGAGGGCCAAATGCAGCCTACGCAAAGTGCTTCAATTTTCTTTGACGCATCGGTTTGGTCTAAAATTCCCCACACTTTCATTCTTCTTGTGGTCTTGATCTCTTTTGGAATCGGTCAAGTATGATCTTGTGGCGTGTCGAAGAGAAGCATTCTGCCACAGATTTTCTCACCATGTCCCAAGCGCATCATTGAAAGTGGGAGAGAAAAGCCTACGCGGCACGCCATCATGATTGAAACAGGTCTTCATAGTGATTCGACATAGTTCTAGGGGACGACCAAAAGCAACCTCCAAAACTGCTTGCCCACTGGCATTCCGCTGTGCTCCCAGGCAATGCACAGCACTCGAGGGCACTTGGGCGCCAACTGCAAGGCCCTGCAAGGCCCAGCGTTTGGGCAGCAAGTGCTTCAATTGGTGGATGTAAACCTGCAAGGAAAATCATGCCATGCCCACCAAAGACTTCCTAAACTTTGACTAATCTCCATACAAACATATGGGCCCAATGCCACAACGGAGTGGCCAGTCAGCCCAAGCGGCGAGACTCAGCTACTCATACTGCTGCTTTTATCTTTGTGCTCCCCCAAAAAAGAAATTTCAAGTCTGTGTTAGGGACTCCGCCTGGGACCATACCCAGTTGGCTGCCAGGAGGATGTAGAAACCAAACCATTGATGCAGGTCGCCTGTCAATAAAAGTGAAGATGTAGAACAAAAGAACTGCCTCTTATGCTAACACGATGGCAATTTTTTATATAGTGTCAAGGCTGATCTACTTCGACCCAGCCAAAACTCTTGTGAGCTGTTCCCACTACTGTCCCCTAACCAGGAACTCCTCGCACGGACCGAAACTTCCATGCGACCTGTCGATTTCAGGAACGACACTCCCGGCACTCGGTGTCTCCCTGGCTCTTCGGCGGGCCTTTGCATCAACTCTGCTCCGGTCCAAGTGGAGTGACCTCGCTGAGGGAAGAAGACGGGTGTGTGGCCCCCTAATCTGCAAGTAGCATGGAGTCCTTGAGCAGTATTTCCATGGATTTCTACACGCATTGGGGTGTTAAGGGTCAGGATTGAGCAGGAACATCCACCAAACCAACATGCCTTGATGGAAGTACCGGAGTTTGCAGGTAATCTGCTATAAAAATCTTGTGCTGATGAACCATCCCTTCTCTTTAGATGGGTTATTTTTGCACGCTATGGTGGAATTTACGAACTTGACACGTTGAAGGAATCCTGCGGACATGTGGAAATACTGTACGATGTGCCATACACAGTTCACTCTAGAAATAGTTTTACAGCCTCTTCCTTCAACTTGTCTGCTGACCTCTCGTGTATAGTGGACCTGCGCCACCCATGTGAGGCAACTGGCGAGTTTGGCAGTTTCCAACTTCCTGTTGGACACGCCGGGTGCGACCTGCGATTTAATTGCTGTGGGTTTTGATCAATGCGCTGAGATGGGTCTGAAGATGGTCTGAATGCTAGATGTCTAAAACAAGCTGGAGATAGAGATTTCTGTGCCTACCTACCTACCTATCTACCTACCTAGATGGGCCTTCAAGTTTCATGTGCATCTTAATATACAGGGATTCTTATTGTCTGCTGATTCCCTTTTTTGCAACACCATCCGCGCCTGCAGCTGGCCCATCAGTGTTGCCGAACCAAGTGGCTGGGCTTGGCCAACCTGCTCGGAGGGATCAATTTGACCTTGGACTTCTAGACTCCACACCCTCCACTGGCCCAAAAAGAGAACTGGTAAAGAGACCTTCAGGTCTGAACTAGATCCTGCTACACCCTCCCAACCAAAAGACGTGATAAATACTCAGTACTCACTTGAGGTTCATGGTTTTCCACGTTCGTGAGAAGCACTCCGCCCCTGGACTTGTTTCAGAGAAGACAGGTCGCAACTCGCTCGAGAGTTCCCGACATCGCTGAGGACGTTGGTTCGGAAGAGTTCATGCCCCCCGGGGTTCGCAGCAGAACAAATCGGGTCACCCCGTTGTGCGCCCAAACTCAAAAGGATGTTGTATTTCTGAAAGGTCGGCCAAACTCAAACAATACTAGTGACTTTTCTTCTCTCCCCCCAAAAACCAAAGAGTCTCCGACCACATCGAAAAACCACATCCTTGAGGATTTCTTCCCCCCCAAAAACGCCTCGTTCGAAGCAGCGTCGAAGCACCACCGGTCGCCCGGCTGTCGGCTGCGGTCCCGACCGGTCGACCGGAGCCTTTCAGGTGACAGGCACCGGAGCCCAGGTGAGCTCCTGAGTCCGGATCGGACCCAAGGGACGTTAGAAGGGAAGGATGAGAGCGACGTTTCTTGTCACCAAATAGAAAAAGGACCGACTGCGGAAAAAGAAGAAGAAGAAGAAGAAGAAGAAGAAGAAGAAGAAGAATTCCCTTGTTGAATCGAAAAGGAAGAAGCAAACGAAGTTCCTTGTTGTACAATCCTGGAAAAACCCTGAAACACGAGATCTTCTTCAACAGAGCTACGATCCAAGAGACCACCTCCATGATTCTCGTCTTCTCTTCGATTGAACTTCGACTTTTTGCACATTCCTTGGCCTTCACTCGACTACCGCTTGGCGTCTTTCCAACCGAACGCGCAGCGAAGTCCGGTGCCCTCTGGGTGAACCTCACCGAGCAGGGCACAGGTCACCGGCTCCGGGTCCAACTGCAAGGCTTGGACCTGGACGCAGCCCGAACACGCCGGCTCCGCGAGCTGGAGCTCTTGATTGAGGGTGAATGGAGTTCGAAAGGAGGTGACCATCAGCTTCGGTTCCGATCGGTTCTTGCTCTGTCAGGGGGAATTGATGTGACAGATTCGAGCGAGAAAGGAGATATCAAGCTGCGATCATATTTTGGAGCCTTTGGCCCGATCGTTCAGCGATGGTGTGGGCGGTCATTCGAAGTAGCGTTTCTTGAAGTGAAAGGTGTGGGCGGTCATCAACACTTTGTGCGGTTTGGAGAAGAGGAATGGACAATTGAAAAGGCAAGACCCCCTCAATCCCATGCGCCAAGCAAAACCATCCAACCATCCTTCGAGCCTCAATGCTTTGCTTTCAGGGCTGATGAGATCAAAAAGCCTTCTGTTCTGCTGCAGCCAGTGGTCTGTAAGCATCAGTGAGTAATTGTTCAAAGTCCAAACACATTGCCCAGGGACTTGTGTGATGACATGCCCGATTCATGCGACATATCAAACTCCCTGAAATATATAGATGCTTCAACCAAACCAGTCGATGGAAAAGTTTTCCAGTGTTTTCCTGTATCATTAGATTCGACAGCCCCAAGAAACCGCTGACGCCAGAATTGATTTTCACTGTCTTTCTTTTCCCCAACCGTGACTTTGGTTCTTTCCACCCGGAGCTCGTGCCGCTGGGGCGTCGGCCAGAAGCTCTGTCTTTCCAAAGCTTTTGCCATTGACCATTAGCTCCTCAAGATGTGAGAAAGACTCGCTACTAGGAGCAAGGGACGCTACTAAGGGCTCCTGGCCTTACTACTAGTAACAAGAAGCTACTAGGGGCTCCTGGCATCGCTACTAGGAGCAAGGACGCCTTTCAGAGAACACTTGAAGAGATTGTTCCCTCCAATGACCGACCACCTGAAACACACCCAGGATATGCGTTCAACTCAAATACTTGGTATCCTGAAGACCACCTGAACACGTGACATGATTCGTGAACACATCCCCTCGACTTTGTCCATTCTGGCTGAGAAAAGTCGATGAGTTCACCGAGTTGTTGATACACGAATGCAGCAGTACCTGGAAGCCCTTTTCCAGTGGAAGAAGCAGTGGATTCGTGGATTCTTCCAAGGAATCCCCCAAACACCTCCCCGCTGGTGCAGACATTTGGTCACTGCCGTTTTGGCCATCCCAACCTCATCGGTCCTCCTTGGCGGACAGGGTCTCAGACAAGAGCTGATAGGCATTGGCGAAGTTGGAGTCCAACCTCCCGGCAGGTGGGTGGTCTCTTAATCGTAGACTCTAGACTTGAAACCAACGCCCAATCCAAACGGCAGATCTATGCAAACAAGTTTGAGAGCGTCTTCTTTCCTTTTTTTGAACCAACCAAACAAGTGTGTTTTTCAGGGAAACATGGAGGTTTTCATCGACGTTCTCATCGATCTGTTCCGCCGTGATCCGATCCAGGCCTCAGGGCCTCCAGCAAGAGCTCTCGGCGCTTCCACCAGCGCCCTGAAAGCCCCATTTGGAGGAGACCCCACACTGCCCCGCAGGCACCGGCAATCATCCGATTTCAGTGGACATGAAACATGAATCAGGGTCCTTCCAGCCCCCAGAAGCAGATCAGATTTCTGAGAGGCGCCCAAACCACGACATCACAGCTGATCGCAGGGTTGCAGGCGGGGGAGGATTTTCGGAGGCCGATTCGATGCTTCTTTCGTTCTTCTCTGAGAAAAGGACTCAGTTTCCCTCAGCTACGAACAAAGGGCATCGCTACTAGTAACAAGTGCCTTACTAGTAGTAACAAGGTTCGCTATTAGGAACAAGTGCATCGCTACTAGGAACAAAGGGCATCGCTATTCCCAGATCCCGCAAAGCGGGTTTTCTTCGCCTCGAACACTTGCCCGGTGAAACACCCGGTTCGGCGGCCGGGTCACCCGGTTCTGCCGAGCCTTGCAAGAAGATCCGATCTTTCTCAATCAAGGCCAAAGCCAGATCACCTGGCATCTCAATGAGTCTCGACCAGTTGGGAACATCAACCATTGAGAATGTCATGGCAATCTAGGGAGTCCTTTCCCAATAAATGCAAAGGCTGCTCTGGGAGGGAGCTCAAGTCCTTTCTCTTTCTGGTCGAGAATTAGAAGCACATCCACAGAGAAAACACGGCAGCGGAAATATACGTACACAAGAAAGAAACAGGAAGATTTTCGGAGAACTTGGAGACTTGCAAACGAGGTTCCCTATCGAAATGGCAATAAGATTGCATGCTAGATCTGAGGAATGGCTGGTCTGGATCCCCATTTGTTTCTCAGTCCCCCAAAAGTAGAACAAGCCAGCGTGGCGATAGGCACAAATATGCCTGGCCAGGAAATTGACACAAAGCGGGTGGAGAAACTCAAAGCTATATGGCACCGCGAACTCTTGGTTGGATCAGAATCTAGTTCAGTTTCTATGCTTGTTCTACCTACCATATTTTCCCATCTCTACGTACTTGGGGATGGCATATAGCAACAAGTCTTTGGCAAGCAATTTAAGTATATAGATATATGTAGGGTACATGTTCTTGGAGGACGAGTCACGAAAAAGCGAATCATTTCGTGACTGCTCCATCTGAAGCACTCTGTTCTGGGCAAACACCGAACCAATCGATCCTGTCTTTTTGCTTTTACAAGGCAAGCCTGAACTACTGACCTGTCCTCAACTCAAAAGTAGACACCAACAGAGACCAGAAGGGGGTGCATCTCGCACTTCACCTCCCACTCATGGATGGCAAAACACTTTGTTCGATGGGAAATTGGCAAAAGAATCTGAGACTGACTTAGCTTGCAAATGCAGATTGGAAGAAGTCACAAGAGTATCTTCAACAATGCCAGGTAAGTCCCTTTCCAGTTCATAAAGATTCCACACCAACACTTGCAAGATCGCGACCAAAGTCCGCTGCACGCCTGGGGTCCAGCTCCAGCGCCTTCTGGTGCAAGGATTTGCGATCCCAGATGCCTCCTGGGCCCTGCACCTGGCGATGGAGCAACAGTGAGCGGCCCTAGATCTATCGATTTTTCTAAAAGAATCGCGAACAAAGTGACATCCAAGAGGTTCAAACCGAAGGAATGCCCTATGTGCGAATCCGTTGAAATCCTCACGTCACAGCAGGGAAATGCACTTTCCTTGAACGGGAGGTGCATGTCTCCAAGTTCACCATGTGAGCTCTCCTGTTGAGATACTCACTCCACAAATGTGCATCAATGAATGGATTCATGAAGCAAGAAGAAACCCTTCTGGTTCAGGTCACTCTTCCTACAGGAGGACATCCACATATATTGAACCTGAGCTGCCAGGACTTCTGCCACGTAAGCCAAGTGTACATATGTGTTTTCGAGTCGAGGCAGATTGATAACTGATCTTTTTGTCGCCGCTTCTTAGATCTTCTTAGTGCGTCAGCGAATCAAGAGCTTGCAGCTAGTCGAAGCCTACTAGATCCACCACTTCTTGCTGGATCCGTCAAGCGACCAAGAAATCCCTCTCGGAGAAGTTATGGTCTTTCATTTGCAACATCTTGCAACCTGTCTTTGCCACATGAAGCTATTGTGGGGCTCCTGGCATCGCTGCTAGGAGCCTAGGAGCAAGGAAGCTATTAGGCCATTGGCTCCTGTGGCCCCAAACACTCAAACCGCTTTTGTCTTCCACCGAACCGTCGCTCCGTCGCTCGCGAGAAGTCCATCCGCTCCGTCGCGGCTCGCGAGACTTTCGCCTTCTCACGCGAGGTCAAGGTCAGAGCGAGGTTGTTGTAAGCGACCTGGAGAGGGATGGTGCCAGTGCTGGGGTCGCCCCCCCGGGTTCTGATCAGCTTCTTTTCGGAACACATCCAAAAAGAATTGCACTCACCCGGGTTCTGATCAGCTTTGGCCATCCAATGCTGAACACCTTCTGCTGGTCGCACCATAGATACCCCATAAACATCAAATCCATGTTGAGTGCCTCTAGAATGCTCTAGAACGTGCTTTTGGGTGACCCCACAGCAGTGCTGTAGTAGAATCTCTGGTTCATCACCACAGCAATCTTTCAAGAGGCTTACATCCTGCCCTCACCACCTTTTCTCCCAATCTCACGCTCAAACACCACCCTTTCCAGACCGAGAGCCCGGTACCACCACGTCGACGCCGACACGCTCGGCGCCCGGGTGTGCCGGACCGCGTAGCTGGGATCCAACTCCAAGGCTGCCAGGTACAAACGCTGCCGATCCCAGGAGGAACCGTCGGCCAGTGGCACCCGCTCCTGCGGGAGACGAGACTTGTGTTGTGGCGGGACGGGTCTGCCGGTCCATTTGCAAGCCCCAACAGGAAACTCTAAAGGACCAGTGTTAGTAGGTGCTTTGATGTACGGCGATTCTCATTCAGAAAGCAACTGCCACCTGACAGGACCAGGTTTTGCTTGGAGCCCCCTCTCCATCACTTCTTCGGCTTCGTTTTTCCAGCGTTTGCTGTATCAGCTGCTATGGGTGCAATAAGCTCGTGATTCCTCCGGGAAACAGCCTTGGAGCATCTCATGTAACGTTTCAGTTCAAGCGTCGTGTCTGAAATCCGGTTGAGTGTCGGAACCTCGTAGCTGTGAACAAAAGCCTGGACATCCTCGGCAAGCGCATGAGGAAATTCAAAGGGCCACCGTCCAAAGTGAGCATGAAAAGCACGCATCCAAGCAAGATAGTCACCTGAACGCAGGCGACCAAGCATCACAGCGTTGAATGCGAGCCCGGCTGCCGAAACAGGTCCACTAAAATCCAATAATTCAACGCCTGCCGGGATAACAGGGTGAAGCCTCATGAGAGTCATGAGGGATAGGGCTGAGATTGTTGATCCCAGCAGAGCTCCTGTGGACTTTGGAATTCTGGCCGGATCGCCGGCAACGGATCCGCTCCCTTCATTGTTCCAAAATTGTGCCCACATCTTGGTTTCTTCACATACCCTCCAGGTACCATCGTCACACTGACGTTTCACACTGCCAACTCGAATACTCTGCCCCAATGGAAGTTGCCCCAACACCTCGCGGCCTAGCATGTAAGGTTCCAGCATGCCTTGAATTGCCCACCAGCGAAGTTAGACACCGCCTCCAGCATTCTTGCCGATAAATCCTCGGAGTCAGCGTCAGAGAGATCGACAACAAAATTCACATGGCTGGGCACTGAACTTCAGCTTGCTTCCGCTTTGTCTTGCGCGCCACACTCGTAGACACAAGAGGGCCAGCCCTTTCAGATGGAAAAGCTGGAGATGAAGAAGCTGAATCAACATTGGTTAGACGCGCGCTCAACACTGATGCCACTGCACCGCCCGCGCGGGCATGTTCAGGTGGAAAGACTTGAGATGAAGAAGCTCGGGCGCGCGCTCAACGGTGATGCCAATGCACCCGACGTGCGGGTCGCCAAACGCGACGCGCACAGGGCCCGCCAAAAATCTACAGCACGCGTCAAATCCGAAACCTCGAAGTGCATCCCTGCATTCTTTCCTGGATGGCTCCAGTATTCTTTGTGCTTTGCGCCCACGTCACTAGCAATTTTTGCCCACTGCTCATCTGGTCCATCGTGCAGTACGAGGAGCATAGCTGGTCGCATAGCAGAGCAAAGTGCGTTGAGTGAAGGCGAGTTCTCCCAAAGTACGCCCGCCAAAGCCGGATCAAATTTGTGCAAGCACTGAGATTCCACAAGATATCGAGCACGTGGTGCCGCAAAGGCAAAAAGCAAGTTCAAGTGACCCACGCGGTTTTTTGGCTCGCCCACAATATGTTTTCAGTGCAGCTCTGGTCGCATCCGTCAGGATATTCATGTCAGCTCCTCCCTTGAATGCTTCTGCCAAAGCAACTATGGCAGAGTATCTGCGAGGAGCCTGTTCAAACATTTCGATTGGATCAGTAAAGGCCATTGGAAACACAACGCGGTTGGCACCGGATGCGAAACAGACAAGGCTCGTGTTTAGCATTGTCCTACTTGAAAGGTACCTGTGCATTAAATAGCGAGTCTGTCGGTTCTGTGGGTTGTTTCGGTTTGATTGTAAAGTCGATAGGGATGCGTTGACCGTAGCCCCTTTTCGTGACAGCTTAGTACTCGCTGAAAAAAGTTAAAGGAGAGCAGTTTCCTTTGCGTAGGTTATAGCGTCGCCTGAGTACTCTGGGTTTCCTTCGCTTGCCATGATGTTGATTCGCGTGAAGTGAGGGCGTTGGAAGATGCACCTGTTCAGGATAGAGCTGTGGTTGCTCCATCGGACACCCCGGTGGTGCTTAGCCCAGTTGTGAATCCTTTTTGGTCTGAGAGTGCGAGAGACGAAGCCATGTTGAGAGCCATTAGGCCTGCAGATCTTCCTGATAGCTCACCTGAGCTGCGTCCAGCTGAAGCGGGAGTGGTCAGCCCTCCGAAAGAAGAAGGATTGGAGGCTGTCCGCATGCTTTTTCAGGGACTTGTTTCTGAGAATGCAAGACTCTGGTCGGAGAGAGACGCGTGGCAGCAGGGACAGCGATCTGGAGGATGGCCGGCCCCGCCGACGTCCTGGCATTCGCCGTCTTCGGGATTTGGTGGGCAAGGACAGCCTCATGGTGAACGTGGCTTTGTCGGATCCATGTTCGATGTGATGAGAACCTTGATGGGTGCTCAGAGAGGCCGAAAGGAGGAAGGGTTGCTTGGCGCGTTGTGTGCTGACCCAGAGCGTGAGGAGCTTTTTTCTCGTGATCTTCAAGTACAAGGTCAGGGAGAAGGGCAAGGGCAAGGGGTCGTCCTAAGGGAAATGGGGGAAGTTTGATGGAGGTGTTCAGCCGGGTGACTGCAGCTGGAAGCATGTTCCAATCATTTATTCCGGGTGCCTCGGAAATGTCTCAAGCGTTGCAGAAAGTGCAGGTAATCCCTGGAGCGGGTTCTAAGGGAAATGACGTTGTGGAGCTCAAGGCTGGCACAGTTGGTGGAGTTCGAGGTTCGGGACAAGACCGACAACCTGGTGAGGAGGAAAGAAGGGCTTTCCAAAGTGCTGGGGAGATCGGAAGGACCGCTGCAAGTGGTTTTGTAGAGGCTGGACAAACCGGTGGACAGGGAGGAGGGAGGACTGCTGGTAATCTTTCTAGTCATCATCAGGGAGGTGGTGGACGAGGAGGAGCCAATCCACAGGGGATTGGATTCGTGGAGGCGCTGGAGGTTTTGGCGGTGATCTTCCTGCGTTTGGACATCCTGGCGGAGGTGGTTTCGGAGGCGGGCGGGCTGGGAATGGACCATCTGGTGGAGGACCACTGGGTCACGTAGGCCGAGGATGGGGGGAATCCTGGAGGAGGTCCATGGCGGAGGAGGTGATCCGAATAGTATGTATGCTGGAACCCCTGCGTGGTTGGGTGGCTTGCTTGCTCAACAAGAGTCGGTTCGGGCCTTTGACTTACCGAGTCTGAATCGGAAGTAGGTCCACTTCTTGTGGGTGACTGGTTGCCTGCAATTGGACCCTTTCTTCGGGATATGAGCTCTAGTTCGTCTATGTGGTGGGATGAAGTACTCCACGCAGCTAGTGCTTTGAGGGTGTGGTTGAACCGATGGAGAGGTTAAGGTTGGTGCCTCTGACTCCTCAAGAATTTCAGCGACCACCGTGGCTACGCATCGAACAAAGAGGATCCGTGGCTTTGCTGAAAGCGATACCTGAATCGCTGAGGGCGGAATTGGTTTCTGAACGTGAGGTTGGTGCAGTGAGCATCATCTTCAAGGTCCTCAAGGTGTATCAACCGGGTGGTGGCAAAGTGGTTGTTTGAGAAAAAGGCGGGCCTGAAGGTAAAGCTGCTTGGGGGAGAGACACGTATGCCAGTGAGAGGATCTGAGGGAGCCGCAGGGTGGGATGTTTCGTCGGCGTATAACCTTTGAACTTCGGCCAGGCGAGAGAAGGCTGGTGCCACTTGGCTTTGTGATCGATATTCCTAGTGGTTACTATGGTCGTTTGGTGGCGCGCAGTTCTTTGGCACGTAATGGAATTGATGTGGCCGGTGGAATTATTGATTCTGACTATCGTGGAGACCTGAAGGTGATCCTGGTGAATAATGGTGAAGAGCCGTTGAGGATCACGGAGGGAGAACGGATAGCTCAGTTGATCATTGAAAAGTACTCCACTATGCCAATTATTTCTTCAGAGACTTTGACATCTACCAGACGGGGCCAAGGAGGCTTTGGGAGTACTGGGGTGTCTGTGAGAAGTCTGAGGAGTGCGGCAGCTAGCTCTGAGGATACCAGGGAACTTGTTCGTCAGATTGAAGTTGAGAACTCCTCTGGGATTAGTCCGCTTCCTGTAAACATCTTCTTTGGGATTGTTGAGGATCGAAGGAATTTGCCGATCTCTCAGTTCATCTATAACCTCAGTGAAGGAGTGAAGGAGAGTTGAGGGAATTTCGATGGATGTTCCCGAGGGAGCTGTACAAACAGCTGAGCACGGGTGTCCATCAAAGTCCACCGTCATTCTTTGAGATCGTGACGTGGGGTGGATCTATCCACATCAGGATGCACAAGCATGAGAACCTGCGGAAGAAGCTCTATGACACCGAGAGCATGGACTACCCTGTGGGAGGAGGATTATCTTCAGGGGTGGTGACTATTGGTGCCTTTGAGAGTGGTGGCATGTTTGCTCGTGCTGACAACCGTTGTGGAAGGGGAATGCCCTGTTTGAGAAGTCGCTGGAAGGGCGTCAGTTTGTTCTTCACCTTTGTGGCAGAAGGGAGGAATGCCTAGATCAAGGTGGACGGCATGATCTTCCAGTGAGTGGCGTAGGGTTAATTCAATAGGTTCCCCGGACCGGTTGAAGTTTTGATGATTGTGTCGACAGGTTCCCCGGATCTGTTGACTTAATGTTTAGAGCTGTCAGAGGGATTTTGAACATGTGGTCATGGGCGTTTCTACTTTAAACTTCATTCGAAAGGGGAATGAGGTGTTGAAGCGTTCTGGAGACTACATCCCTAGCGATGCCCAGAAAATGCTGGGGGGCTCGCGACTACTTTTTGGTTCGTTTGTTTCAAAGGAACCCGACAGCCTCCTTATCCCAGACAATCTGGGAGGGGAGAGCGAGTCTGTCGGTTCTGTGGGTTGTTTCGGTTTGATTGTAAAGTCGATAGGGATGCGTTGACCGTAGCCCCTTTTCGTGACAGCTTAGTACTCGCAGAAAAAAGTTAAAGGAGAGCAGTTTCCTTTGCGTCCTACTTGAAAGGTACCTGTGCATGAAATAACTTGCTCATTGAAGCTGTCTTTGGACATGCCTAGTGATAACTTGAACTACTCAAATTCATGCCGTGCACCACACCATTATTTCAAGCAACCACTTCGTCCTGGTTTGAAAACACACTACGCGAGCAGGCAAATCCATCACTACCCCTGACAATATGTCCAAGTAACTGAAAACAAGAAAATGTCGCTGACGAATTCCAAAAACATGGCCGATGAAGAGAGAAATATGCATGTGCGAGACCTGGTGACCGTTACATACCCAGAAACCGATAACGTCGATCCAATTTTTCTCCACAGTCCATGGGAGTTGAATCCCTCAGAATATCTCCAAGTAACTGAAAACAAGAACCTTTTCATTAATACGGTGGGTGGAAAGAATCCTGCACCACCTTTGGCGCATAATATTACAAACCCTCGCGCTCCCTCTTTAACATTGCAGGGCTGAAACCATGCTCAAGGAAAACAAATTGAATGGCACAAATTATCCTGCACCACGTCAAGCATCCATCAGCACAACATTGATATGGGGGTGCGGGGTTAGGATTTGTTTCTTGCTGGGGGCTCGACACAGTTGCTGGTGCACGATTTCTTCCATCCACAGTATCGGTTAGATGGTGCAGCGTCTTGTTGGACATGCCACTGGTGTACCAGACCACCCCCTGGTGTACCAGACCACGTCTGGGTGCACCACCCTGCGAAACAAAGACCCTTCTACACCGGAAACGCGTTGCGTCATCAAGGTTAAACTGCGCAGTGCTGTGGCGCTGGGTGGTCTGCTGCTGCTGCTGCTGCGGCGCTGGTTGGTATGCTGCTGCTGCTGCTTGGTGTAGACTGCAGATGCTTGGTGTGCTGCAGCTGCTTGGTGGTCCCGCTCACCGCGCGCAGGGGGGAGACGAACCCCCGGGGCTGCTGCTGGCGCTGGGTGGTCTGCTGCTGCTGCTGCTGCGGCGCTGGTTGGTATGCTGCTGCTGCTGCTGCCGCTGGGTGGTCTGCTGCTGCTGCTGCTGCTGGCGCTGGGTGGTCTGCTGCTGCTGCTGCTGCTGGGTGGTCTGCTGCTGCTGCTGGGTGGTCTGCTGCTGCTGCTGGGTGGTCTGCTGCTGCTGCTGGGTGGTCTGTTGCTGCTGCTGCTGCTGCTCTGGGTCTGCTGCTTCTGCTGCTGCTGCTGCTTGGTGTAGACTGCAGATGCTTGGTGTGCTGCAGCTGCTTGGTGGTCCCGCTCACCGCGCGCAGGGGGGAGTCGAACTCCCGGGGGGGGGTCCATAAGATTGATTTAATCAATTATTTGAGGTTTCTGAGGTGCGTCCACCCCTTCATTTAACTTGCAAAGCAAGAGCAACTTCAGCTAGCTAAGGCTAGCTTTCGTGAAAAGGGGGGAAGCGGAGTGGAGCACTGGCGGAGCACTGGTGGAGCACTGGTGGAACACTGGTGGAACACTCGAAAGAAGCAAATGGAGGAGTGAAGCTTGTTTTAGATGATGGTCCTTCGGGGTGTGAAGCTTGATCGTTCGAGAGCTGTAGATGGTCGATGTTCAGTTGAACTTGGAAGACTTTGGCGCTGACAATGAACAAAAATAAGTTTTCGTGATTGGATTGATCGAATTTACCTAAATCAATCGTCTCGCTGGTGAAGGCCGTGTGACACTTTTTCAACAAAAACATGGAGTCGACACCTACGACCTTGGATGCCTGAACTCTCCAACGAACTTGTGCAGTGCTCACATCTTTGTAATCTTCCAAATTCCACACCATCGAGTTTTCCGTGTGACTGGCAGCAAGTGGATACATATTTAAATGTGAGTCTTGACCATAGACCTTAAAGATGGCTCTCTCAATGAGTACACGACCAAACGAAAAGCAGTGACCTTCAGCCTTCAACCGATGTTCCAGTGACGAGTTTCAACTTTCGTTCGCTGGAAACAACAAAAAAACCATCCAATGCCCAGGCCTTGGCCTTCAAAAGCACAGCCAAGTTGTTGTAGGCGAAGGCATAGCTGGGATCCTCGCCCAGCTGGCGATCGAACAAGCATAGGACGATCAATTTATTCCTCCAACGAGTTCGCTAGGGCATGTTTAGTTTCTTGTATTGGGCACTCAAAACTCAAAATAGTGTTCATTGGTGACAAAAGAGCAGGAGGGAACCCCGAAGACCCCGAAGTGAACCTGCTTTTATCTGCTTGGATTTTTCTTGGATAGGAAGGTATGGGGCAATAGCTTTCCTGTGAACGGGCTTTGGATAGCGGCTTTGCACTCTTTCCACTAAGGCTCTGTCAGAATCATTCCCACCAAGGCTTCGTGGGAAAGCTGGTACACCACCAAAGCAGGAAGAAACACATTATCATCTCTGTGGTTTTGCTCGATGCAGCCGTCATGAATTCTTGCCGCATGATGCGTACGAAGATCGAGCCCATGCAAACAAGCAAGTGTATGCTCAGCGGTCTTAAGGGTGATAATACCTGCCAGTAGAGCAATCCAGTCTCAAATCAGACCTTCACCAAGGCCTCATCCCACCGGCCTTCCACCCCTCCCTTCCCGGAGCTGTCCAGTTCAATGGACCGGATGTACAAGCTTCGCTTGTCCCAAAGGGTGCCGTCTTCCAATCGAATCACCTGCCATCGCCGCCAGGTCGGTTGGCCGGGGATGGGGCAAGAACTGTGGAGAGCGAGCTGCGGGAGAGCGAGCTGTGGAAAAATGGTCGGCTTTGTTCATTTTCTTCGCAAAGACATTGTTTTGGCATTCTTCTTTTGTTCAACTGCAGGAAAACAAACTGACAAACGTGGAGGGAAAAGGACGTCACATCTGTGATGTGGACTTCCCAAGGATACCCTGCTCGTGAAGCTCGGATCGGTTTGGGCATTTGGCCAGTTTAATCTCATCATCTGCAAGCTCCAAGCAATATCACTCGTCACTATGGCATAACCTCCACCCCAAGCAACTATGCCTCACAAAACAAAGACCGTCGAATTGGATCTCTTGCGGTGAATTGAGTGGAGGAACGAATCCAAGTGCTTCCGGAACCTCCTGATCTCTTTCAAACCGGCCACCACCCTTGATAGCTGGTAGGGAGAGTGAATGAGTTCACCAAGAATCGCAATGTTGAAACTCCTAACGTGGCGCGGGGGCGGCATGTTTTGATCTTTTCCCAGCGACAGTGCGGTGGAACTGGCACTCACTCGTGCCAATTGAAACCTGAAACGCAACTAAACGCAGCACTGCATTGGGACACCATGAGGCTTTGGTTCCAAGAGGCTGTCCAAATTTCTTCGAAAAGCAAGAGGGTTTCCAACATGCTCCTGTTGTTTTGTGCTCTCAAGCTCAAGCCCCAAAAGGCCTACCTTCCTATGCTTCTTCTCCGGGTTCAGCAACTCAGACCTGTCCTCAGGTGATCTCTGTGTCGCCAGTGGCACTTGTGGGGATCTGCAACATTGGGCAGATCTTTCTCTCACACAAAAGGTGCCACGGATCCACCCGACAGACAGTGTTTGAACTGGCTCCACACGAAACTCTGCTTTGCAGTGTAGCGGTGCAGTTGCTGCGGGCATTAGGCTGTAGCAAGGAGCTGCAGAAGGAGACAGCTGAGTTCGAGATGTGTTGAACTCTTTTCGAGTGCCCGTTTGCAAAAACTAATGAACAAACATTTATGATGCCAAGCGTTGTCTGTGAAGAAACCGGATGAATCAATGCTTGTGTCATGGCTTTTTGGTGGTTCCAAAAAGGATGGTGGCTCAGCTGGAGAAGCTGGTTGAAAACAAACCCGATGGCAAACCATCTGTGCTGTTCTTTGGCATCTCCCACATCCACATCGTTCTGCCCCAAATCGGTCCCCAGGAATGGGCTGGAGAGGTGGCTGAACCGCAAAGAAACCTGGCCCACAAGGTAGTTGAGTTTGACCGACCTCAACTGGAACTCCAGTTCGGCCAAATGACATGAACCCCCCAAAGGACATCGAACGAACTCATCGTCTCCTCCCGGTCCAGAACAGCCGAAACGACGACGAATTGGGCGTCCAGCTTCCGATTTCGGGAGGACGGAGGCCACTCTGTGGCCTTGAAATGTGGCCCCATGACGGTGGTCCCCCCCCCCCAAACCGGCCAACGCACTCGGTGATGGATTGCAAACGGACATCCTATAGTCTGTCAGAACAGAATCCTGGGGAGAGGAGGCCAATCCGTAAATCCTTAAAGAACTAGGGCTTTTGGTCCACAAAAGGCAGCCTTGCCTAGGCATGCTCTGGCTTGCTCAGCCAGTTGAGTGTTTGGCGAACTCGTGGCTGTGCTATCCTTCCACAAATTCAAAAATGATCCACAAGCGGTCACACAAACCTCCAGAAATGCAATTCCAAACAAGGACGCTACTAGGGGCTCCTGGCATCGCTACTAGGAGCAAGTAGCTACTAGGAACAAGGATGCCCGTAGTCAAACATCAAATGATCCCGTTGCCTCAAACGGCCTCGATCCATGTACTCTCCATGCTACCCTTCTTCAACTCGCTACCCGGTCCTGATAGAGCGTGGCAGTCGGCCAAAGAAACAGCCACGAGATTGAGTTCTTCGTTCATGTCCTGGAGACAGTGCTTCACTTCAAATCTAAAGCTTCACTTGGGGTGTGTATTTTTTAGGTTGGAGGCATCGCCATTAATAGGAAAAAACACCCTGGACCAATTGGTCGGCTCGATTTTCTGGAACCGAACCCCCGGGTGGCGGCTACACACTCACAAGTTCCAGACCATCCTTTCGCTTCCGAGTGGGGGCGGTCCCGGAGAGTGAGGTCCGACTTCTGCGTCCGAACGGGTGGTTTTGCCAAGTCCGGGGACACTGAAACACATCGTCCGAACTAGGGAAGAAGCCCTGGCCATGAGCAAAAAAGGACAAACATGGTATGAGTTCTGTGGAAAAAGGTGGCCCAGAGATGGTATGGTTGTGGATACTTGACCTGAACAACCCATTCCCGAAAGTCCGAGGCACATGGCATTGAGGAAACCGATGAGCAACTGACGCATGTATTCATGCTGAGCTGCCATCTTGTGGACGGCTATACGCCGCACTTGTGGATCCTCGGACCCGTGCAACATCGGAAAACGCAGTAGGAACAGGTGCCACGCTACTAGTAACAAGAAGCTACTAGGAACAAGTGCCTTGCTACTAGTAACAAGAAGCTACTAGGAACAAGTGCCTTACTACTAGGAGCAAGAAGCTAGTAGTAACAAGTGCCACGCTACTAGTAACAAGAAGCTACTAGGAACAAGTGCCTTACTACTAGGAGCAAGAAGCTAGTAGAAACAAGTGCCACGCTACTAGTAACAAAATAGAAGACTTAGCACCCCCACCTCTCCACGCGGGTAGCTTTTGGGGGGGTTTGCTTTTGCGATCCCGAGAGTTGCAGGGTTTGTACCCGTTTCTGGGAGCCAAGCGACCGAGACTCGCAGGACATCTTGCACTGCCTTCTTCATCTCCTCCCGAAGTGGCTTTTGGGGACGATGGATGGCTTTCTTGGAGTGAGCCAAATGGCAGAAGCCGCAAGTCGGACCGGCTGCACACCCACGGCGGCTGGCGAAGAAAACACATGGCTGGCATGCGCCGCTGCGATGTTGGTCAACGTTGGGACTCTGTAAGTCCAGCTGAAGACGAGGTGTCTGGTTATCTCCCGCCGACCTTGGGAAAAGAAGCCACAAAGGTCTGTCAAAAGGCTTAAATAAACAAGTTCAAATCAACAAACATCTAAATGAAAACCCAAAACAACAAAAAGGAAAAACACGTCTGGTGATCTCTCGCCGACCATGAGATCTGTCGAATCGGCGCTGGCACATCCTCGAAAGAAAGGCACATCTTGTCACATCAAAAAAACATGGACCTGGCGTATTTGAACAGAGAGACACTCCAAACGATGGCTTTGCCCTTCTCCGCTCTTTTGTTTTACAAAAAGTCCGTTTCCTCTCTATCACTGGTAGATCCGGATAAGAGTGATCTAAGGTGATCTTCTTCAGTCCTTTTCTTCCCTGACTCCCGACGAACTCAAAATCAGTTCGTAGTCCTCCTCCAGGCGAACCTCCAAAAAAGTGTTCTTCTCGGCAAAGACGTAGTGTGGTTCTGCGGCCATCACGACGACTTGTTCCGAGCTGGATAGAAGGGAAGCTGGAGCCAGAACTGTCGCGGAGAAACTGGATTCTGGAGCTGGTGCCGCTCAAAAAGCTGAGCAGATCTGGGCAGGTTCTTGTTGCCGGTTTTTTGGAACGGCCGTGCGGGTCGTAACTACGGAGCCAGACAAGGTCCTCAAGGCCGACACGGAACAGCTGTCCGAACCGAACAGCGCCTGTCCCACCGAAGAACGAAGAACGAGGTCGCCACAACATCCGACCCCAAGGACCGGTCGACCTCGGAATCAACTGGCGCCATGCCAAAACCGGAATCGCCGTGAAGACACAGCAAATGCACGAAACAAGGTACCCTCCGAAAAGGATCTCCATCTACACCACGTCCCCCCACTCTAGGCTCCAAAAACGCTCCTCCCCAACGTACCCCCCAAAGGCTCCCCACGTCCACCACCCCTACGCCCGTCCAGATCGTCTAAAACCACGGTGGGCCTTCCGGTCTTCCAAGACGACGCCCAGGTTGCAGTGCGCCACGGCGTTCCGAGGATCCAATTCCACCTGCGACGTCGCCGACGGAGGCGGCGGAAGGCGGAGCGCTCTGGGCGGTCTGGGCGCGGCGTTTTTGGTCGGGGAACATGCGGTTCCGGCTGCACATGTTGGGGGGTGATTATCATGTGTAGATGTGCCGGTGAGGCTGTTACACCATTTGATGGCTCTCAGGTCTTTGATCAAAAAAAGTGCTACGTAATATACAGATCTATAAAGAAAGGTGTTACAAGAAGCGAAACAGTTTCTTGCACGGCTCTTCGCGCATCTTGACAAAGCGATCAAGTGGCCTTGTCATTCATCCAGATGGTCCGGTGTTCCTCCCTTAAACTGCCCAAGTCCCGATGAACTTCAACAGTGAACTTCATTCCTGTCTAAAATTGCCATGATTGGATACTCAACTGGAATTGCGACTCCGAGACTCTTATCACCGACCATTTGATGTGACGACCCGGAACGCCACGGAACGCCACTGATTAAACAAGCTGAGAGATGATAGACTTCAATGAATCCTCAGAAACTTACCACCAATTGTCATCGGAGATATTGAAAAAAACCACCGCACACAACCTGCATTCTGTGACCATGGCCTCCAACCACCTACTAGCGATGGCCGGTTCCACCGGGGTGCCCGGACGGCCCGTTGGAAGAGCGACTGCTGCGTGGCGTTCGCAAAGGAGCCGGGCAAGGTGATCACCTGGCGCATCGAACCCGCAAAACGGGATACCCGGGGGGGTGAGGGTGATCCACCACAACGGCCCAGGGGGTTGTCCTCTGGAAGCATCCTTTTTCTGTGTAAAAGAAAATGATTCTCCATCTAAGCAAATCCACTCCATCTAAAAAGAAAGGAGCAAACTCAAATCCCGTGGGGATTTTCACGTCGGGTACGAAGATAGTTTCATGACAAATCGCAGGTAGCGCTTTTTAACAAATTCTTTGTATCCGCATTGGGTTGAACGTTGACAGCGAGTTCTTTTGAACTTCCCCAGCTCGGCTCGACCGCGGCCCTCGCAGGAGACACCTCGCCAGGGCTCAAGGAGACGGCCAAGTTGTTGTGCGCGTGACCTCGCCGTGTCGCCGGACAGCTCGGTTCATCGTCTCGAGGTCACAGCAAGGACACTAGTAGGGGCTCCTGGCATCGCTTCTAGTAACAAGTGCCTTACTAGTAGTAACAAGAAGCTATTAGAAACAATAAGCTACTAGGACAATAAGCTACACAGAGAATGCTTTTTCCACTCTTCCCCGAGATCTTTTCGTGGAGTCTATCCACTTGGACACAATGAAATCCAGCCGAGTCCATCCATTGCGGCCAGCGCGCTATGTGTGGAGTCCAACTCCAAGGCCTTCAAGTGCAAGGCCTTCTTCGGCAGCCTCAAGTTGGTGGTCACAAAGGAAAACCCCTTGGTATGAAGGGGATCGGCCGCATAAGTGAAGTTTCTTTTTGAAAGAAAACGAAGGGGCAACATCTATCCTCCCCAGTCACTTCCCAACATGTCACTTCAGAAGTCCAGTCCATTCCACCATCTCAAAAAATCGACCCCTTGGCTTATGAACAAACATGACCATGCAAGTCACTTCCATAACTTGGGCTGCGGCAAGAGTCCATCTGGTAGCTGCAAGCTTTGACCTGACGCCAACTTGCGGCGAACTGTGACTGCACAATAGAGCCAGCCGCAATCAAATTGATGCACAAACTCCACCAGCTGAATTTGCCACACCTAGTATGTTTTTTTTCTTTATGTCAGACTCAGATGCTCTGAGACGTTGTCTGCTGATGTTGTTGGGGCGATTTTTTTTTGCGAGGAGCTCTCCGCAGAAGATATATATATATATTTGTTGCAAGATCCGTGCATCGTCAACAATGGCCCACACAACACATCGACGATGCAAAGGATTGCAATCACCTGGAATTCATCTCTTGCCATGGCCCTTTATGCGCTAAACGCAGTCCACTGCCCTGTCCTTGACCATTCCACACCCCCGCCCCTCGGAGCCGGCTGGGCCGGTCCCGACGAGTCACCCCACCTGGGAGAAGGGTCGAGCCCAGATTTTCAAAGGCCTCGCTCGCACGGGGAAGCACGGAGGGTGCCGATGGGTACCAGGTGTGGTTCTCTCAGAGCCTTGCTTGGAGAGGCCAAGATCGTCCTTCTCAGTCTCTGAGGTCAAAGCTGTGCCCAATTCATGGGCGGTTGGCGTGCAATACATCGCAAGCGCCCTCTCAACATAGGTTTAATACATGTAGACAATGTAAAACTCAAATTATCCCGGCAAAAGACCCCAAACAGTGTGTTTACCTGTCTAAGGTCTAGAGGTGTAGAAGCAGTAGAAGCAGAAGGTCTAGAGATCTAGACGCATTGGGCTCCAGAGAGAGGTGATAGCGGTCATGATGGTGATTAGGTCTAGAGATCTAGACGCGTTGGGCTCCAGAGAGAGGTGATAGCGGTGATGATGGTGATTAAGGTGGAGATCCTGGTGCTGGTGGTGGCGATGAAAGTGGTGATGATAGTGGTGGTAGTGATGGTGATGGTGGTGATGGTAGTGGTGGTGTGATGGTAGTGGTGGTGATGGTGGTGATGGAGGTTGAAGGTCTATGTCCAGAGTTCTAGAAGTCTAGAGGTGGAGAGGGATGCCTGAGTACACATATCCTGCTTCTTCGATCTTTGTAGCGTCGCAGGCTGGGCATCCTGCTGTGTATGCAAATCTCTCTCTAGATCTTCTTGGTGATATGAAGTCTCCACTTTGGGCTTGCCATGGCAGGGTCTCTTGAAACAAGTGCGGCTGGCTCTTCATGCGCAGCACACCCTGTGGATCCCAAGGTACACCTCAAATTGTCTTCAAGATCGTACTTGTCCTGTTCGGTCTTGCGCCGAGTGGATTGGACAGTGTGTGCTCCTGTTGGTGTTCCTGCAATCTGCTCACAGCTTTAACCACGTTTGAGGTGTTTGAACGTCTCCCCAAATGGTGGAATTGCCACTTTCCATTCTCCTGCTGACTCATCTGCTACCGGACTTACCCAGTACGGTGCCGGGTGAAATGAAATGTCAAAGGGACTTGATAGACCCCGTTGGCGAAGTTCACCGGAACCTGCACGTTGTTCCTCGTGATGCTCTCTTGTTCGCCAGTGCGCCTGCTGACAACAAAGGTTTCGCAACTCCCGTGATGCAAAAAGTGCCGGTGTCATGGATGGCCTTAGATCCGATGCCCAGTGCTTCGGGCCTTCCGCTTTTCGGAAGTCCTCAACGACTTCTCCGGAACCGGCTTTGGACACTTTGGCGTCTGGCGCTGTCGGCTGGTATCCCAAGGACTTGGCCATATCCATGGAGATGCACGAAGTGCCAGTCTTGAAGAGCACCCGTGCCAGCCCACCAGATTCTGCGAGCCTGCGCAGTCGAAATGCACTTCGAAGACTCCGAGGTGAATGAATGCACTGTAAATAGCAGCGAATCAGCCGGACGCTTCGATATGCACCTCCAATGAAACACCCGTCCTTAACTCTTACCGTAGGAACCCCTAGTGTGGACACACTGTTTGGGGGGAAAACGCCATATGCCGCCAACATAGGACCCCCTCGTGGACCATGTGCATCTTCGGCCTGAGCGTTCTTTGGATCCAACTCCAAGATGTCGAGGAACGCGCCACGGTCGTCCTCACGAGGGGAGGGACCAGTTGGCCAAGTCTTTGGACCCGCTTTTTGGCGTCAAAGCTTGATGGGTGATGATTTCCCCTACCACTTCAGGTGTGGGTGAAGCTCTCCCGACACACTCGTTTTGATTGTTGGATCCTGACGAAATAGCATGACTTCTCCGTACCCTTTGGTGATCAAATCTTGCATAGACCCCTTGATTGACCCTTTCTAACTGGTGTTAGACCCTACATCCAAGCAGTTGACCGAACATCCAAACGACCCCGCTACCGCTCCGTTCGTGGCATCCTTCAGCCACTCCCAGCGACTCTCCTGAAGCCCCACTTTCTGTGCCACCGAGCGCAGCTCACTCTGCATCCCACATGGCGTCACTGGCTTCGTTCGAAGGCGTCGTCACTGGCTGCAATCCATCAACTTTTCAGACGCTTGAACCCGTTTTTCTCCACGACTCGATCAACAAATGTGTCGCAGCGATTCGTTGCGACAGTGGCCGCCTTCTATGGCTTGGACTTTTGTGAGCCATTTGAGCAGTGGCTGGTGCGAGACGCTGGTGCTTTGGAACCATCCTGGTCTCGAATCAGATTCTGCCTCGGGTTGTCCAATTTCTTCCTTTTCCCAAGCCGATTTGTCTACAAAAGGCAACAACACAACCTGTGCATATGGTGACATCAACGGTAGGAATATGCAGCTCTGTGGCCAAAGTTTTTGCAAAACACAACAACAAAACGGTAGATTGAATGGTCATATAGTTGTTGAATGGTCATGTGATAGACCCAAACTAAGCTCGCCAAACACAACGGTCACGTTCGATTGTCAAGTTACATTGCTGTACAGTGACAGAAGTGTGGATTCAATAGGCACAACTCGTACCTTGACCTTGACTCTTCGCGGTGGTACCAATCCCGCAGTCTCTCACACATCAACCCATCAGTGGCTTTGGCAGATTAAGAAAAAATGATTCTATCCCCTAGAAGTCCAAAGACTATTTTTGGCACCACCCAAGTAAAGGACATTCGTTTTCAGGTCATCCAAAGACCAGTTACATAAATGGTCTTTGACTTCCAAGGCATCCATGTCCCTTCCGTGCTCCAAACGTCAATTGGGGTTTCGCCCGGTTCCTTCGTTTGGCCCTCGTGCTACTCCAGCGCTGCGACCCCTGCGACCCCCTTTTTGCGGTCTTCTTCGGTCACGGGGACCGTGCCTCGGGGACCCGGTGGAGCGGGTGGACCCCGCCGTGGAGCGATGTGAGACGACCGATGTGAGGCGATGTTTTTTCACAGGTTTTTCGGTCACAGGTGTTTCGGTCCGAGTTCGGTGTAGATCTTGTTCCACCTTGGAGTCCCTTCTGCTGTTCACCCTCTTTTTCTTTTGCTTTGTTTTTTTCCGCGGCAAAGAGGGTCCATGGCCGCGACTGAAAAAGGGGGAGGAAGGAAAAGGATTCTGAGCACTGAAATGGATTCTGTCCAACCTGTCCGAACAGGAAAGAAGGCGAACCTCGGGGAATTGGGTCTGCACCCAAAATATGCACCAAACAGGACGACTCTTCTGTACAAGCTTGATCGAATTTCTACTTTTGGAGGGCCTGAAGGAAAACACATCCTCCTCAGAAAATGCTCCATGTAGCAATGGATTTGTGGATCTCTCTGGTTGAATTGTGCCTGGAGTGGTCACCCTTCCGAAGAAGCAGTGGCAGTGTCCTTGCAGAAAGAGAACCATCGGCGAACAAGGTCAATATCTCAACACCTCCTAAGATGATACGATCTTCTAATTGAAAGACATGTCCTTTTTCCAGAACTCCTTTCAAATCAGATTCTCAACGGCCTCTGGTCCAAACAACATAGACCTTCCGGTCCGTCTCCCGGAGTGCAGAAAAAGCTCGCCTGGAGCTGGTTGTTTTGGGAGAACCTTTGGTATTTGGGGCCTTCAGACACTTGATCTTTGGCCCAGGTACCAAGCCCAAGAGCGCGTCCAAGTCCTCACTCACGTCGCTCATGTCACTCTCCTGCGGCTTCTTTTTTTGCTGTTGCACGTTCGACCGGGGCGACAGGGCGCGACTGGGAAGGGCTCTTGGCAGACACTGGGAATGGAGGATGCCGGGAGGCCACATATGCTAGACGAGGTGCCAGAATTGCACACACTATGGTCCCAAACTAGTCTGAATCTGCTCAATTAGGCTTGACATCCTTGCAGGATGTATCTTAGAAAGCCACTGTTCTGCCAACCTATGATAATTTCGATCCAGGCCCGGGCCTAAATACACTTCGTAAAATGAAAGCAAACAAGACAATGATTTCATGACCAAACATCACGGCAAACCTGCTCCCCACCTCAGCTGACTCGCCCTCGACGTCCTGCCAAGCACTGGATGATTCCAATGACTGTGACTGATAAGCCATCGCTACTAGGGCGAACGAGGCCATCGCTAGTAGGTGACACGAACGGGTCCGTTTTGGGTGAAAATAGAGACATGCGAACAACGAGTCCCTTTCCGAAGGATTTCAGGTCCCAAAGTCCACCAGTTCCTTTCGCTTCCACCTTTTCGCTTCCTTCTGGCGAGACGCCGGTACGGTATGTCTTGATTGGCGAACCGTTCCAGTGGCCAATGACTTTATTTTTCATCCTTTCTGTGCAGCCGCTGGGTAAAGGACATGATGTTGAGGAACATCCACCAACAAGTGGTGAAAGGTCTTGGCCGGAAGTAGATGCAAGTTCCACTAAGTCACTTTAGGCACTCCATTTTCAATGTTAACTCTACATGCAGTGTCACCAATTGTCTCCATCATTGGGTTTGGTGAACAAGACTGAGTCTCAGATGCCCCAAGCATCGCATCAACCCCACGTGTGCCTTTCTTCTCGTGTGTCCCTTCTCCAAAACACCAAAAAAGGCTCCACCATCTCCGACATGCGTCATGAAAGCAGCGAAACGACCCGGTTGGGGCGCCTGCCAGCCCTCCTTGCGGTGCTGCGTGAGGTCCATGGTTCGGTTCCGCATGCTCTTCCGTCCCCGGCGCCGGGGGGGGCCTTGGGAGCGGCAAGGCGTGCACCGGGGGGGGGGGGGGGGGGCGTGTGTGAAGCTGGAACGGTCGTGAACAATCCGGAAGCGTTTGCCAGGAGAGGAGAGGACAAGCTAGTTGTAATGGCCTCCAACGTAAGAGAGAGAGAGAGAGACGGTCTTAAAAATCCTGGAACACTTGCCAGACAATCCTGTAGTGCAATTTGGGCAAGCTGCAGAAGGCATTCTTCCTCTCTGCAGCCACTTGGTGTAAGAAGTTTTGGCCTGATTGTCCCCTCTCCAATTTGACGACGCCAAAATCAAGCGGCACGTGGGACTGATGTCAATGGCAATTCAGCACCTCCCACCCGCCGTGAAGGAGTTCCACTGCCCAACGTCAAGCAGAACCGTCGAAGTGAACATCGTGTTGCTCGGGGAGTGAAACACCAGTGTCGCGTTGTACTCGAGTGAGTTTGCCACGGATGGTCCAGCCCCATTGTGGTTTCGTGGGATGATCATCAGATGGGCTGGAACTTCAGGGATGATCTGGGTTCTGTTGGGGCAATTTCGCTTGCTTTCTTGGAACAATGGTCCCACCGCCAAGCATCGCCAAGCATATTTGGGTACCAGAAGCAAGCAAAAGAAGTGACACCTGATAAACATGTGGTCCTGTGACGGTCATCAGCATCAGACAAATCTAATTGTGTCCAAAAGCTTGACTGAGCTCCTTTGCTTGGTGGCCACCCGTTTCGTTGCCGATCAGCTGAAAGGACACCGGACACAGAAGATCTTTCCCGGTTATTCCCCAGAAGGGGATTGAGGGGGAATTTCTGATAAAGCACCTTACGGCTCAAATCCCCCTTTCAACATGTCTTGAAAGCCATTTTCGCTCTCTTTTTGGACACCTCGAAAGCAACTTATTGGGATTCGGTGCTCTCAATCCGACGTCAAGTGACTTCGGGCACCTCCCCGTCCTCCACCGGCGTCCGATTTGGGTGCTCCCACCGGCGTCGGCGGGCGTGGATTGCTTGGCACGAAGCTCCTGGTGAGTGAGCTCATTGGAGTTCCCTCGCCACTACCCACGGGCCAAGGGGACGTATCAAGCAATGATGCTTGGAAAATCATGGCTATCAGCACAGCGAAACACACAATCCATGGTTTGGCAAGTTAGCCGAATTCCGGTGTCCCCCCAACAAACTTACAAGACTTCGATCATGGTGCTCCTGGCCGTTCTTTCAAACAGAGACTGTCCCGAACTTACTATCTGGATGGGCGAGGCCCCAAACACACTGAACGGTAAGTCGCACCAGTAAGAACAACGAAGCCAAAAACTTGTGGCACTCAATCTTTCAAGAAATTACACGATTTGGCCCATAGACTTATAGACCAAAAAGGAAGCATTGCCAACAGCTTGAAGGCGACCATGTCCCCGAGTGAAGATAAAGCCTTCTCAAGGTTTGTAATAAACTCGTTTAAAGATAAATCAACTCATTTACAAAAGACTTATTTTGTTTTGACATTGGTTTATATTGAATGATATCAAAATTTAATTGATTAGAATTATTATCAGGGAAGATATGTAAAAAATAATGTTGTAAGCATTGTAATTTAATCTTATTTCTGGTAAGAGGTATAGGCTTGCCATCACCCTTTATATCATATATTTTATCATTATCTTTATTTTCTTCGATATCCTTTTTTTTTTCATTTTCTTTATTTTCTTTATCCCCCTCCAGTTCTTTCCTGATCTGTTCCTCCTCCCACTCTTTCATGATACGGGTTTTATCCTCTTCAGTTGCACCATGATACTCGTCCACCCACCTTATATTGCGAAAATGATGCCTGCAGTTGCATCAGGGATGTCTATGGTGACTGTACATTTACACCGCAAATGGTACCTGATATAGTTTTTTATATATATAATAGAGGGAGCACAGTTGATATTAAAAATAGTTTGTTTTATGGGTCAAATAAAGGCATCGTGTTTCATAACATATTTGACCGCACATTAAGTTAATTAGTATAATTCAATCTACATACAAAAACACTTTGATCACATCTGTTTTTAATATACATAAATACATACGTCCATCATTTTTATTGTGTTTTTAGTGAAAAAATACATGCCTAAAGCAGGAGGTTTTATATTTGGTATGCCATCCCGATTTGGTACGATGCCATCTGTGAGACTCGCCGGGTTCCCCCAAAAAGCCTCCCAAGCTCTGTCTTAGCCCAGACCAGCAAGGTGCCCCTGACCTCGAAAAAATCGGGAACGCAGGAGCTGGGGCCATGCTGGGCCACAGGTGTCAACAGGTCAGAGGTCACCATGTCTTTTTCCATGTCCAGTTTATACTTGCCTAGTTTATTGCACACGCGAGGCCGATCGGCATGTGATTGAACACCGCAACCCAAACAACCCACCCATTTCTTTCGAAAAAATCGACACTCCGTTTGACACTTCATCTGATCCTATTTCCATCGTCCTTTCCTCCGCACACCTGTCATCTTCCAACCCAAAGAACCCCCTCCCCGTCACTGCGTCACATCGCGTCACGTCGCCGCCGTCACCGTCACCGGACGTCGGACGTCTCCTGGTTTTCCTGCTCCGACTCCTCGAGCCTCGTGCGGTCCCGGCCACATGTTGTGGGAAGAGGAATTGGGATCATCCAATGGATCAGACATTGTAGGCCTGTAGATGGTCTGTATGGCCCTGTTTTGCTATGGTATATATGGCCCATACCTGTAGATGGGCCACTTTGATGGTCACTGGTATGTGTGGCGCATATGGTTTCTCCTGAGATATGACTGGGACCTCGGAATGTTCTGCATGAATCGAACGTCGTTCTTTTTGTGGGGTCACTCCAATATAGGTAGACAAGCTGGATCCAGTTTGCGACACCTATGAAAAAGCCCTTTTTTTCCTTTGTGCTGAGGGCACAGGGAAACATATGAAGCTAAGGGTGGCGTCCGAATCAGCGGAATCGGTCACCAACATGTTCGATTCCGTCGCCAGATCCCGAGACTCTTGCGAAGCGGTCACCACCGGAGGAAGGAAGAAAGCTGGGCACAAAAACCGAACCAAGGCCCCAACGAAGTGCCCTAAGCCAAACCCAAAAACACCCCCCCGAGCCAAACCCGAAGCCCTAAAGAGGTCTAAGCCACGCCCAACAATTTCTAAAGAAGCGAAGCCCTAAGCCAGACCCAAAGAAGCCCTAAACGAAGTGAACCCCTGGACTTCATAGGGCTCCCCATCTCCAAAGTCTTGGATCTTGTTTGTCACTTTTTCCTCCTGGGATTTGGGTGGCAATGTAGGCGTCCGCTTCGACCACTATGATGCCATCAGGTCGTATCTCTGGCCTTGACCTGGATCTGGAGCGAGGTGACTCCACCTCTGTTTTCCCCCACGTTCATCACGTGGCACAGTAGGGAAACTGTCAGCAACAGCCATCTCCTTTGCAAGTTTCCAAGAGTCAATGCCCTGTTCTGGCCCAGTTTACCTGGTTCAATGGGAGCTCCTTGCAACTGCCTGGCCCACCAAAATGTCCTGCTTCAGCAGATGTGCCTGGAAAGCCCATGACAACTTGATATCGCTTCTTCACAGCGATATGTTCTCCGTGCAACGACACACTCTTCGTGCGATGCGTACGTCACTGACATCGGGAGATCTTGACATCGCCTGAAGCTCAGGCAATCACACCAATAGCGCCTAAAAGGCTGTTTCCCTGAACAATTAATGGAAGCTCTTGACCCTCTCAATTGACTGCTTGAAGCAGCCCTTAGTTTTGCCTTCAGTTGGAGCCTCCACGGCAACGCATCATGGGCAAATGTCTTACCGCACTAAGCCGACGACGGACACTTCACTGAGTGGAAAATTGTTTCTGTGCTCCGGACGATGGCCTTTTTCCATGCGGGAGCACCTCAAGCAATGCCCTACTTAAAGTGCTCTGTGGATCACAACAAACCCTCGAAGAAGCTGCAATCGAACTTGCCAAGCTTCACTTGTCCAAGGTCCCGGCATCGCAAATCATCAAAGCATATCAAAGCAACAATCATCGAAGCAACCGCTCCAATGTCATGTGATGCCACCTCTGAAGACTTCTTGGTGGTAACGAGCTGAGATGCAATGTCCATTTGCACGATTGGCTTTCATCAGCACTTTTTGGTCACGAGTGGCCTGATCGGTGTCTGGTAGCACCACGATGCCTTAAAGTCCGATTGCTACAAACGATGCTTCGCGACCTAAGCGTCTGGGTCAAAACATCAGCAAACTGCTTAAGACCCTCTGCCCACTCTTTTTGTAGACTCTCCCATTAAGCACTAGCTCTTGAACCGGTAGCCGCCAATTGCCTTTTAATTCTCTTCCCTCTGCACAGATTTCCTGCTTCTGCTTCTTCTTCTTCTTCTGCAAGCTGAGTCGAAAGACATTTATTGTTCATTGGCAAACAACAAAGAAGCCAGAAAAGAAGTAAAGGATCAATATCAATATACACTTGAAAAGCCGCGAAACTGTGGAAGGTGTTGTGGCGGGAGCGCGGTTTATTGCCCTGGCAGACTTACCGTACTCAGCTACAGAGTCGCTCCTTGATCAAAGGAGCCGGTTCCTATGGCAGTTCTCAATTTCCTTCCGTTTTCGTCCTTCTTCCTTCTCTATCTCTACTCTTGTATTTGTCTCTCTTATCGCTCCATCTGTCTCTCCGGTCCTATCTCTCACCTCTTTACCATGTTTCACTTGTCTGTTTATCTCACCCATGGGCAAAGCGCTTGGCTACAGGCACTTATCTTTTGTTTGCAACACCCTTACAACTTCTCCTTACTATTTTAACGTGTTTTGCATCTATTTCATGAGGACAGTGGGCCTTGAAGCCAAGACCTAGCGGGTAAGAGGGTCATACTCTGTAGGAAAACGATCTACTACTTGGCATGGGTACAGGTAGTGTCCTTGTCATTGCACCATTTGCTCCATCCAATTGCCGCCGGTCCAGGCGTCCGCTGCCCGTTCAATCCCGCGGCTGAGCTCGTGGCTGCTTTTGCAACTTCATGAGCTCCTTGAGCCGTTCGTTTCGAGCCGTGTGGAGAAAAAGACTGGTCGCGCATCAAAGTCCCACAGCTTCGTTTGGTCTTGGAGAGATAGGCTCGGTATTCATGAACTTGCTAAAAAGGTGGTCGACTCTTTATTGAGAATGCACGGGGTGCAAAAGGGAGAGTTGTGGATTGGGGCGACACCCTTAATGCCTTAGCAGTTCTTGTGCCTGGACCATGCATGGACTTATAGAACCCACGTGCCTGGTAAGGACAGACTAGACCAGCACCAGCTAGGGTTGCCAGTGGTGCTCCTGCACGAAGTAGTTACCATCTTTGAGGATACCAGGGAATTCAATTCACTTCGATACCAGTGAAGTCATGTTGAAATTGTTGTTCTAGCTATTGATGACCCTCCACATATGTCTCTGCAAACCACCACATGCTTATCGGCGGAGTCTGAGAAGTCTTCCTCAGTGCATCCCAAATCACCTTAGCCTTCCTTAGCTCCGTTCGCAGGATCCCAACAACGATTCCTGCGAGTTGAACTCCGGGTGTCCTCCTTCAGCGCGTTCATGTCACTGGACTTGCCCGAGCTCTCGGTGGAGTTTTGCCGCTCCATCGCCTGGCCAACGTGGCTTGGTGGGGGAGAACTGGACACATGGCTCCTGGGTCAGCTGAGACTTGGCTGGGAACCCTGGGTTTCTTCCCAATCGACGACTCAACGGAGGTCAACCTGGTCTGAGCCGACCGACCGGTCCACAGCCGAGCCGGGTGGATCGGGTGGTTGGCAGGGTGGAGCTTTCTGTATTGTACACTGGGGGATATCCTTTTGGGTGTAGCTAGAGTCACACAAGAGGCTTTTTCTTGTCAAGGAGTAAAGATTTTGTAATGAACCCAACCATGAAGGAGAAGCATTGACGGATTCGACACACTGGGCGCAACATCTGCAAAGAATTCACTGGTTCACTGGGCGCATTATTCCTCGTCTTCGCTTTGGACGCCTGAACACCTCCAACACCTTGGATTGATGGATGGTTGGCAAATGGATCAAGGGCCTTTACTCAAATGTTGTGATTGACTCCTTGAAGCAACAAACGCCACGAGAAAATCCCTTGATCTGTCTGTCTTCTGTCTTAGAAAATCCACCTCCCACCGTTGCATTGCAACCCACGGACACCGGATTACTTCTCCCGAATCCTTCGCCCCGGCCTCGCGCAGTCGGTTCAGCTCGGAGCGCAGCTGGGTCGCCTCGGAGAAAACACGCCGAGACGCGAGACGACGGTCGGAGACCGTCGGACCGGAGAGGTTGGTTTCAACAGACCTTACTACTAGGAACAAGGGCCTTACTAGTGGTAACAAGAAGCTATTAGGAACAAGTGCATCGCTACTAGGAACAAGAAGCTATTAGAAACAAAGCTTATAAATATAATTTTTATTACCTGAAGCCCAACCAGGAGAAGCTCCCTGCACCGAGCGAAAGACCGAGTGAAAGACCTTCCAGGTCAATGTGGAGCATGGGATATCACAGTATGGGTATATTGTGCTAAGTTGCACCAGGTGGAATCAGCCAGGTTTCTTTTTGCTGAACTGGTGAAAGTGGCGGACTTCCGTTGTTTTCTTTAAGCCACAAGCAAGCTTGCTCTCACCGTGGCACACCGATTTCGCACACCCGTGGGGAGTTGGTGGATGGCACACCCGTCGGGAGTTGGGAAAAAGGTCACTAACACACAGAGATGAACAAACCATCTAAGCCGGAAACAATGGATACGGTGTGAGGCAAAGAACCACGATGAAATCGGCGACACCTGGGCTGTCCGTCCATCCAAACCCATATCATAATAGTTTCCTTTTGGTGGACTTGGCAGTTCTTTCTTTGAAACTCTCGGATTGAACTGGCGTAGCTGAAGATGCTCCACCTCCACCCTGAGCACAACGGACCTTGCTTGACAGATCGAACAAAAACAACAGTTTGGACGGATGATGGGAGCCAGGAGGCACCCAAACTTGCGCTGCCGTGGGGCCGTCTTCCGACTAACCTCTTGCCGCCCTGGTAGGGGCAAGCTTGGCTGTGCCGCTGCCGGCGACTGGATGGTCGGCTGCGCCGCGGGCTGCGCCGCGGGCTGCATGATGGGCTGCATGGTCGGCGGCGCTGCCAGCTGTGCAGACTGCTTCCGGGGGTCCACCTGGGCTGGGGAAGGCTGAGCAGCTTGGAGTTGAGACTTGTGGGACAAAAACCATCTAAAAGGACCGATGCAGCTTGGAGGCAGCGTGCCTCCAAGCCCATACCACCTCATGAGGCAAACCTTACGACTCCGGGCAATCTTGGCCTTCCACCTTCCCGAAATCATCTTTAGGCCTCTGGCTGCATCCCTCCGTCCCGTTCGGGTGGGCTCCTCAGTTTCTGGCCTCAAGAACGCTTGGAAAGCACATGTTGCAAATTTTCTTCACCCTTTCAGGGCCGTGCCCTGTTTTTCTGCCGACGCTCACCCTCGGCACCACCGACCCTCCACCGCTCTGCTCGAGCCACCCGCGGTGCCGAGGTCGACAACGGCGGCATCTCTGGCACGTCCGCCGGCGCCGCTGCGGGCGTCGGCGCCTCCGCCGCGGTCGCTGCTGGGGCCGCTGCCGGTGCCTCTGCTGCTGCGGTCGTTGGGGGCTCGGCTTCTGGCCTTGACCGCAGGGCACTGAGACACTTGGGAGGTTGCCTCCTGTGGGTGTCACTTCTGGGCTTTTACCCGAATTCCACAAGGGTGATAGCTTAGATCAAGAGCAAAGCATGTTGAGGGGTGGAAGACCATGTTGCCGAGCCCAAAAGGGCCTTACGAAGGGCACACTCCCTCCGTTGGACAGTTGGCAGTTTCCTGGGCAGAAGGGGGTCCCTGGTCAAAGTCCATGCTAGTGGATGTGAAGTCGGAAGGGTACTGCGTTTGCTTTGTAGGATAAGGCAACATGCTTGAGTTTGATCCTTCTTGGACTGGAATGTAAGAGAATGGACTCGATTTGATGCCATCGCTTTCTCGCCCGCACGTCCAGGCGATTCCCCTTGTTACGCCCGTGCTTCGATTGGCCATCGGCCACTCTGAGGGAGACGACAATTGCTCACCAGCAACGACGACGACTTTTCCCCTCTGCAAGAATTTCTGCCAATTTGGCGGGCCAGTTTACACCGGGACGATTGGCATCTTCGAGTTGGGTTGGAACAAGAAGTCCCGTGGGAGTATACTAATTACTCACCTCTGAACTGCCCAAAACCTATCTTTCTCAAACCTATCCTGCTTGGTTCGTTCTTTTTTCCATTTAAACACTTCACATCCACGAGAACTCGAGAACTCCCACCGTGCACCGGCAGATCTCCGCGCCGAGGGGCCAACCACCAACCTCCTGGGGTGGACCGTCTCGGCGACGGGAAGAGCACCGGAGGGAAGAGCTGAGACGGGAAGAGCCTTCTGTAGACTGGTAGACCAGGCTTTTTGGGGATTGGAGAATGGATTCGGAATGCCAAAGGCAGGGAATGGAAGGAGTTCTGGGAGTCTCTGGCATTGACGGGCTCTGGGTGTGCAGATCCGATGAAGCGTTGTCCCTGAAGAGTCGAGACAGCCTGTGAAAGCGTGTGGGTTAAAACCTTTAGTTCAGCAAGTGTGGAATCTCAGAAAACATTTCCTCGTAGACTCTCACATTCCAAACTCTCATGGCTGGCAATGGATGTGTGACCCATTTGTGCTTGGCAAGGCCACTTTGCACCCTAATCCAGCACGAGAACTCTACGGGGCACCCCTCCTCTTGCTGGAGCCACATATCATGTGTGCTTTCCCCCCAAAATCTTGCAAAGTCGTGCGTCTTCCCTTCTCATGATCACTTCGTAACGGTCAAATTTGCTCTGGTTTTCAACCACCTTCAAGAAAAGGCCCCTTCGAAGTTCCATGTTTCCTCACCAATCCAAGAATAGTTTAAGTGACCTTATAGGACCTTACTGGGAAAACGGGACCTTCAACCTTACAATTCCCTTATAGCCTATGGGATAGGCGAACAGTCGGATCCTTCAACCGCCCCAACCCCCCCCCGGCACCGCCCAACCGCCTCGGGCGCCGACACCGGGCAGTCGGGCTTCAGCGCCGAGGGCGGCAGCGGCGGCATCAGCGGGCCCTGCGTCTTCCGCCGCGCCGCCGGGGTGGCCTGGGATCGAAGGAAGCGCACCAGGGCCCATAGGGAATCCCCATGGTTTTGCATCTGGACAAAGAAACAGGCTTAAAAATAGATATAACATTAAGAAACCCATAAGGAACCCTACCAAAACCAACCCTGATTAGAAACCTTTGCTGCCCAACCACCCAACCCTTTCCATTTCAACGATCCCATGGAACCTGAGAATTGACCGGGTGGTGTGAAGAACCATGCTTTTACTCATCGGCAGCGACTGCACCGAAAGAGCGTGGATCTGTTTGCCCCAATTTGGCCCACAGACCAACAAACACGCGTCCCCTGCAAGGAGTTGCCAACCCTTCCCAGAAAAGGAGCCCCGGAACCTGAAGATCTTTGAGAAGAGGATCGAGCCACCTCCCTCCTCACAACCTGAGAACTCGTGCTCCGCAATGAAGGAATGAACCATAACTGGATCAGATCAACCGTGGGTTCGCCCCTTTCCCTATAATGCTACGATCGGGGCTCCTGGCCTTACTACGAACGGAGCAAGGGACGCTACTAGGAGCATTTCGGGCATCGCTACTAGGGGGAGCCCCCTTCCCTATCCCTTTTGAAGCTACTAGTAACAAGTGCCTTACTAGTAGTAACAAGAAGCTATTAGATACAAGTGCCTTACCATTAGGAGCAAGAAGCTACTAGGGGCTCCCTTTTGAAGCCACCTTCCCCCGTTCGGCCTTCGGCCCATCCAGCCCGGGAGGCCTGGCGAGGAAGCACGGGTCCGGTCGTACGTGCGTAATTCAGGTGGAAGTGGACCCAACACGTTGGATTTGGGATGTTTCTTTTAATTGGATCTTGTTGGTTTTAAATTGGTTTTTATTTTGGAAGCACCCCCCTTTTTAGCACCCTTTCGTTTAGGACTCTTTTCAAAAGAGGGTCTTAAGAACAGCCCTTCAATCAGACCGTGGCCGCCGTGGCGGTGAACGAAGGATCCGATCGAAAGACGTGACCGTGTGGCCCCGCTGAGCTGACCGTGTGGCCGGAGACGCAGAGTCGCCGTTCCGCCGAGGAGTCGCCCCCAGCCGGCCATCTCGGAAGGCGTCGTGTCCCTAAAATCAGGATGGCATCACACATCATCGCATTTTCTGCTGAAAAGACTCCCGACTCGTCGCCGGCCCCGAAACAACAGCAACTGCCAAAGGTTGGTGGCATTGGGATGTCATGACGAGCAGTCGTTTCTTTGCCGGCCTTGGACGTTTTTTTACCACCTCTCAAGGTCTCCAGTCTTGGTCCAACCCCGCGTTTGAGTATGTTTTAGTAGCACAGCTCAGGCGCTTCAAAGAGGAGGTGGCCCCCCTTAACACTCAGGGTCCAAAACGACATGCTGAAGCCCACTGTAGATCCCACTTCTGTAATTTCCCTGGGGAGGTAACCAGACCAAACCCACTTGAGACCTAGTAAACAGCTCCAATCAGAAAAACAAGCTTACAGAACTGAAGCAGCGCACCTGCGATCTCTCGTCTGATTGTTTGCTTCTGTCAATGTGACCATCCCAGCATCCTCCGTCTCTTGCACCTACTGCACCGGATGTCAAGCGATCACCAACAACATCTCACAGCTCCTTATCCCAGAGCCAGAAACCTCCTAAGTATCCCACTACTCACTGTTGCTCACTGACCCTTCTCTTGATCTCCATCGGCCTCGGCAGCTCGACCGGGCCGGGCACCGGCTGCCCGACGGGCACCGGCATCGGCGCACCCGGCGCCAGTCCGGGGCCATGGCCTCAAGCGGGGCTCGGCGTTCAGAGCGATGTTTGGATGATAGGGAGGCTGTTTTTGCTTGGCCCTCAAGGCGATGGTTCAAGAGTTCCGCACTGCGACTTGGCGTTGGCTTTTCAGAATCTGATGGAACACGCATGGATTTGCCACCAGCCGTGCAAAAAGATATGGGACTGTTGGGAAATAGAGACGCAACTGTTGGCAGTTCTCTTATGCACCAACAACTCTTTACGAAGCCAAAGCCTCAAAGAACCTCTAGGATTGTGGTTTTTGGGCTAGGTGTCTTTACACTCCTGACTCTCCGATGACTGGATGACCGCTCCAAACCCGCTCCGCTTCAACTCCCAGTGACCCTTGCAGGGGCCCATGGCTGGATAAGCGCCTTTCATGCCTCGGGCTCGGCGCCAGACATCGACCTTTTTGGAAGGAAACACTTTCCTAGTAGAGTAACTTGTTACTACTAGTAAGGCACTTGTTACTAGTAGCGATGCACTTGTTCCTAGTAGCTTCTTGTTTCTAATGGCTACTTGCTCTTAGTAGTACGGCCAGGAGCCCCGATCGTAGCTTCTTATTCCTGGGAAACAAAAGACACGCCTGTCATGTGCTTTCCTTGGACACGTCTCG